AAATTGTTATGAGAATTGATTTGATTAGACTTTGAATGATGTTATACTTGGAATTTGACATTTTGCATTTCACAAACAACAGCTTCTAGTGTTTTTTTAAAGTAGGTTAATTTGCTCTACAGCCCGATGGGTTTCTCTTATTTATTGACCTACAAAAGAATTAATACCAAAAATTATGCCACAAGATTTAAAAAAGTCCTGCCCACTACTAGAACGATCATTGACTGCACTAAATAGGATGTTTCATTCCAGAATTTTTGCAGCACATATATTTTATGAACAGCTGTTACAAATCTCACGTGACATGGAAGGCCCTAATAAGGGTTATCAATAGTGACGTAGTTTCCTTTGTTTCATTTTTGTTGGGGCGACTCTATATGTGACAAACAGGTTGTTTGGATATCTTGCCCGATAAATTAATTAGAAGACGGTGACAAATTAATGGGTGATAAGATATTTTTAATTTCAGACTTGCAAACACCATTAAAAAAAACCAAAAAAACAACTTAATTACTCCCCTTTCGGAAGCAAAACATAAAACAAATGTAAACAGAATAAGTTATGCTGACGCATAGATTGCAAATTACAGAATTTGCGTTGAAAGTAACATTGAAAGTGTAAAACAACGTATACAAATTCTTTAAAATAATTTAGTGACAATGAAAGAACAATCAACAAATATACTTAGAAGATATGTCACACATTAACCAACACTTCTTCAAAAAATACTTATTGCCCATAAGACAGAAAAAATTACCCCCATTTTTTTTTATTGACCTACATCCATTTAACGATGAATGTGTAATGCATTTTTGTTAAAAGATTGTACTTTTATTATTTTGGATGAGGAAACGAGACATTGTTTGATGATATTTTTATACAAAATAAAAATGGAAAGATGATGTGCCATCATTCAGATAAAATAATATCATGTAACTGATCCAAAAATGTGCAATGTTTTTTTTTTGGTTACAGCCTGGATTTACAGATGCACAACAAAGGTCTGGCAAGGAACATCATGCGGCTAGATCCCATTATCAAGGGCAGTATAAAGAAATTGAAATGTAAATTTTTTATTGACTACAGTTGACATATTCATTTTCAGCACACGGATTAATATTCTTAACTAAGCAATATTTTAAAACTTGAGCAATTTAAAAAAAAAAAAAATCTACATTATTTCTCTTTTGTAATAATCGGCCGCCATATGTAATAAAAGATCACTCTCTTAGCGACAAATAGTGATATTATTTATAAGTTATTGCTTGATTTTGATATATCTTATGTTTAGAGAACAAAATGGAATTGATTCTTATTTGAAATTCCATTGTTCTCGTATAAACTTTGAGCTCATTGTCAAAATAACAAAATTGTAACTTACCTCTATTCTACTAACAGGATAATTTTGTCAAGTGTTTTTTTTTTTTTTTTTTTTTTTTAAATAAAAAAACAAAAGAATGTTGGGTAAAAAAAAAAAAAATTCATTTTTTTTTTTTTTTTTTTTTTAAAAAGCAGGTCAAATTCAAAGGTTTTATTTACCGTTCTTGCCACGAGTCTATGTATTAGCAAACATTGGAAATGTAAGGTTTTTAGGTGTTGTTGATGGTTTTTTTTTTTGTTTTTTTTTTTTTTTTTTTTTTTTTAAATAAAGAGATACAAGATGCTGGGTAAAATAAAAAGAAAATTCACTTTTTTTTTTTTTACCTTTTTTTTCGTTTACATTGAATTTTGTATCAAATATTTGATAATTAATTTTATATTAAAATTAATATAGCTTTCAAACACATTTGTGTTGTTCTTAGTTCGTTATTCTTGTGTTGTTGTTTTTGTTTTTCTGGTCAAATGCATTCAAGAGTATAAGTAGATAAGCACTACACACATACACACACAGACACACACACACACACACACACACGAGCGCGCGCGTGAACACACAAACACAATCCAACTGAAATGATGTTAGGTTTCTCCTTCAGAGTTAACACCAAACTGAGGAGGATGCTGACCTTGACAGGCTCGTTACACCAGGAAGTTATCTGTTGCGACTTGTGTCAACACGACCTTAAATCAAACGACTTAAAGGGCTTAAGTTCGACTTAAGTTCGTGAATCACTCAAGCGTGCCACCCGATTAAATGGCCTATGTATTCAAAAAGTGTATTCATCGCCGTTCTAGTAGGTGTTGGTTAAGTTGAGGAAATGCTAGCGAGAATGCGTTATATAGAAATTTTTTCGTTTTTTATTTACAAGAAACAGACCAAACCAGTCACAGCACGTTGTTGTCTTTTAGCACGCTTGCCGTAGATTTAAAAAAAAAAAACAACATCATGTATTCGCATCAGTTAAGTTATAAATACTAAGTGACTAATTTACCAACATGGTTGGCCAAAGGGAAGTAGTCAATGAGTCAATGTTTAGATCGCATACAGGGTTGTAATATATCTTGGGTGACTCTTATTCCATATGGCATCTAACATCAATTAAGTTCTAATGACAAATATTTACTCGTTTTATTAGTTTTTATATCCATTCATTATTATTTTGTTAAATTTAAGTCCCCAGTAAGGTTTTCAGCAAGATAAATATCATCTAAGCTCTGGAAAAGCTATGATTTACCAACAGCTTTAAACTAAACAATATTATATTATGAACAGAAACAAAAAAATAATCTTATGTCTTTCAACAAGACTCCCTTCACTTAAGAACCTATATGCATTGGTATTACAGTCAACGACAAGCTGGTCATTCATTGAGTTTACGTTCATTCCGATCCTTACATGATCGATAATAACAAACAATGATATAACCAGAGTCGCCATTTTAGGAGAGCGGGGTGGAGCATTTGCCCCACCCCCTGAATTTGCAGGTTTTATTTAATTTGCAATGTGCTAAGCGCCTCCAGTAATAAACAAATTAACAAGTGGATCAAGCTTGGTTTTGCCCCCACCCCACCCACCCCCCCCCCCACAAAAAAAGCAAACAAAAAAAACTACTGTAATGACGACCCTGGATATAACGATGTATTGCATTTTATTTGAAATATTATTTTTCTGGCATCCGTCAGTCACAAGGTGACGATGGTGTGGACTTTCCAGGACGTATTCCACAAGGCCTGGGGTTATTTGGCAATAGGAATGTAATTTCTTCATTAGCTCATGTTCCTACATTTAAATCCTACTACCGACCAAATGAACAAAACTTAAAATAAACAGATCTAGAATTGACTCCAATGCAACTAAAGTACAAGGCATATAATATATTATATTTTGGAGAGTTAGAAATAAAGATTTAATTTAAAACAATTGACTAATTTGGAAAGATCAATTTTCATGTTTTCCAACTAGGATTACACAGACAGCTTAATATTTTTATATTTTAAAAAAAAAAATAAATATCAAAATTCGAACGAACATAAAATGTTATTGGCATACTGAAGCTTCTACAAAAAAGGGACAAGCCAGATTGGCAGAGCATATTAAAAGAATGCCGGACAGCAGACTTCCACAACGAAAATATTTTCCGCAGTCTCTCGAAAAGGAAACGCACAGCTAGTGGGCAGGAAAAAAAATCGCTTAAAGAACTATCTAAAAGCTTAACTCAAATCCATGGACATTGCCATTGATTCGTGGGAATCCATTTCAATGGATTATATACAAGCTTGCGTGGCAGGCTAACTTTTCGGAGAACAATCCTCAGAGAATAAACGCACCACCGACGCCGATAGACAGCGCGCGGCAAGGAAAAGCAGAATCGCGACCAGTCCTACTAGGACCCAAAACAACGTGTGCCCTATGTGCGGGAAAGCTTTCCTTGCACAAACAGGACAGGCCGGCCACCTGTGTCTTCACCGTGTTATATATCCTTCGTCCAAAGGACGCCCGACAACAACAAAGGAAAAAGCTAAATTCATTTTCAGCTAAAGAGACCAGTCTTTCATTACTTTCTAAAAATAGTATTTTTTTAGGCATTAATTTTACTGGGTCCAACAAACACTTTGCACAATTGCCCAAATATGGTGGCGAGCATCCAATAATTTATTTTCTCGCAAAAGCAGGTCAAATTCAAAGGTTTTATTTACCGTTCTTGCCACGAGTCTATGTATTAGCAAACATTGGAAATGTAAGGTTTTTAGGTGTTGTTGATGGTTTTTTTTTTTGTTTTTTTTTTTTTTTTAGGGGGGGCGGGGGGGTGGGGTTTGCGTCTACATCTGAAAAACGCAATCCAATAAAGCTTTTAAAAATATATATTTGCCCTCCCTCACGTCGTTCAACAAATTATTTAAACACTCTTCACTTCTACCGACCGTTCAAGCGTAACGTGCTCTTTTTCTCCCCCTCTTATAAAAGCGTTAACAGAAGAGGAGCTACAGGGGAGGCAATCTTCAGGTCAAACTTAAGTTGACACCATATCGTAGGCCTATATTTCTTTTGGATTTTTCTTACAATCTCAAAAGTTGAATTTTTATGTTACCAAAGAGATTGTAACGTTAAAGAACAGCATTAAAAAAAATTAAAAATTCAGCAATGTGTATGATCTCTGTGGATAATTCAAGATTAAGTTCTGTGTAATTTGTTTATGTTACAATGTGCTCTACTGGGTCTATCCTGTTCATACTTATGTTCACGTGTTATCGTATCTCTATTGTAACTACACAAGGTAATTAACTTTTTTAATTGCAAGATTTTAAAAGAAATATTAAGTGATCTGTTAAACAGATTAGTTGTTTTTTTGGTAAATGTTAATAAAATTTTTATTACAATATTTATGCATATACAATACGTATACACACGAAATAAAAGGGTATATCAAGGGAGAAAAACAATTATGTCATGTAAAAATTATATATAAATAATATACTAAAAACAGGAAATTTTATTATTTTGATTTACTTAGATCAAATTTTAAATAGATTTGATTTTATCAATATTGAAACGGCGTTACTCTCGCTGCAGAGTTGCTTAATAAAAAACGCTACAGACAGTATCGTCTGTAGCTTTCATCTTACACTTTTCATCGGCACCTTGCCAAGCTGGCTGGTTCGGCCCACGATGTCAGTTTCAGTGTCATTGTGCTCAAGACTGTGACGTCACTACCGGCCAGTGTCTAGCTGGCTCGAAATGTCAGCATGGGTGGTTTGGAACGGCTTGTCAATATCGTGCGTAAAGTACATTATCGACATATTTATTTGTATGTACACATCTTAAATAAAATATGGTCGTGTATTAACTCCAGTCAGTGTGTACAATTGTTAAACCGTATGTCTTGCTAGTGACTTCCCGCAGGTAAATGTTAACCTTAACTATGCCGTATTCCTTACAATAAAATTACAGAAGACGTGGCCAGTGTAAACTCCGCAGAAATAACAGCAAACGTTGAGTTGTCAAGCCCAGACTGGATAACTGACAGAGATGACTCAACATGTAACGGTGACGTCAACCTAGAGTCCATTGTTGTGACTTGGATTGACGCTGCTCCATTCACCTGGTTGAGATTTTCTGTCGATGTCAGTTGTACGTTTACCTTTTAATTAAAACCAATTATCATGTTTACTCTATTTTTAGATAAACTTACTATTTCTTAATGAGGTTACCCACTAATTTGCTTGGTATATAACGTGATAAAAATTATGTTAAGTTTTGATTTAAATTACGTTGAAACTATTTCTTTGACCACAAATGTATGAAATTTTCAAGTTAAGGTAAAACGCTTTCCACCAGTGGTTCCCAACGTCCTTGATTATGCAACCCTTTAACACAGTTCCTCAAATTGCGTTTACCCCCAGACCATAAATTATGTTTGTTTCTACTTCATAAATATGTATTTTCCGATGATCTTAGGCGATACCTGTGAAAGATTAGAACAATCCCTGAAGGGGTCACGATCCACAAGTTGAGAATCACTGTTATTTTGTGGCACAATAGTTTTAGGTTTAATTTGAAACTGTATGAGAGATAGAGCGAGACATACTCACCTGAAATTCATGTATGATTTTTAAAAAATATCATATGTTTGAGAGCAACATAAATATTTCCGCATTGTGGTTTATTTTCTTTTTTCAGTAATACAAGTTAGACCACTAACATCCATTATTCCTTTATGATGAAATTTTGCAGACACTGTAAGCAAAGAGATGAATTCTATTATTGATCCCAATGTATGGAATTTTTTTTTTTATTACAATGTTCAAAATTCATTTTTAACACATGCATAAATACTCTTACAAAGACAAATATGTACGAATTAGAACATTAAAAAAAAAAAAAAAGACATGTACGGGTCGTGTAAAATCGTGTAAAAACCCGGGGGCATAGGGGGCACGCTTCTTCACTCTAATTGGGGAGCAAAGTAAGTTTCATAGCTTTAAAAATTACTCGGTCCTAATTCTGACGGGAAAGAAATCAACCTGATCCAGCTGATGTTAGATATCTTTCATGAAGTGGTTAGGGATATTTCCTTCAAAATTATTTCAGTTTATCAAGTGCATATTGCATTAAATAGTTCTTTCAAACAGGGTGTTTCGTTAAAGCGATATGAATTGCAAACTTGATCAGTTTTTTTTTTTATTTGGTGCTTGATGAGACACGATGAAATATCAAACTAGCGGGTAATATTGAAATTTAATAGGCTCTGAGCTGTTGCACTGGAGGATATGTCAGTTGTTTATTAACGCCAAATTGTGCACTATTTTAGGAAAGAAATTTCTGAGGCTATCCGTTTAGCTTATTATTAATATTGACTCATAAGTTCTTGTACATATTTGCACTATACCGTGATTGTTTTTTTATAATTTTCTTGTACTTAAGTTTAAAAATTCCGATAAAACGTTTGACTGCATCTCCACTACAGCTGATTTCGAGAATTTAACAGTCACCTTCAAAACAAGTGCAACGGCGATGACAGAAATGCCGTGCAACAAGCAACAAATCTTTCTAGTAGACAATCATACAATGGACGTGACGTGCAATGTGACGGTCGATGTAATGCAGGTGATCATCAGAGGACACAGTGTCAAGTCGTTGTGTTCTCTTTACATCAGTGGAGGTGAGTACAGATTTGAGGTCGTGATGTTTTTTGTTTTTTTATGAAAAGAGGCTTAGAGAGTAAATGGTTTGAAGAGTATGTGCGCGTATTATAAATGTTACATACTGTTACAAGATTTAACAAATTTAAACTGTCATTTTTTTTTGTAAGGAACATTAGACGAACATTACGCGGCAAACAACTAGTCTACAAAGAAAAATCATACCAAAGCTATTGATATTAGCAATAAAAAATTTAATATAATATTAAGTTAATTAAAAAATGAAAAAAAATGAAATGTACAAGAAAGAAAACGACTATACCAACTTACAGCAGAGCAAGTGAAATATTATAATACTTTAAATGTAAATACACACCCACGCTGAAAAAACGTGTAAGACTCGTAGGTTTACTAAGAATCTCTTACGTCTTTGACGGTTGCTGGGTGCCACGGCCGTCTAAACCGAGTCAGTTTCCCCAGCAAAAGCATAGACAAGGAAAAAAGCCCCACCCACATTCCGAGAGGACGGGACAGGTTAACCTTTGATGGAAACTCATCGAAGAGAAGGGAAACTCTGAAATTAAACCCGTCGGCTGTATGGCAGTGACACAATAAACATTCCAAACGCATAAAAGGTAACAGTGAAACAAAGACAATCATCTTGGGTCGTTTCCTGCAGCAGGTCTATTCCTAGTCATCTTGAATACATATTGCCATTGGAACAAATAGACAAAGACGAGATAGTGAGTTGGCTCTATTATACATAATTCAGCTAATGTTAAGGCTAATCTCAATTCAAAGCCTTGGTCATTGACTCTTGCGATGGACGAACAATAATGCCCGGTAATAGTCTGCGTATTTATAGTGATGGAGTCACAACCAAAAATACTTGAAAGTCTAGATATTCTAAAATTAAATAGTATTTCTTTCTCTATATATTCCATACTGGAAACGTAAAAAAACTTTTCCAATCAGTGGAAGTAGTTGTAAACCTTTTGTTGGTTTCATCAGCAAATCTCATTTAGTAAGAGATGCATGCGACGGCTCAAAGAAGATAAAAAAACAGGCTGTTGCAATTAGTGTAAGGCTTTCTGATTCGAAACTGTCATTGAGGACCTGTTTTTTTAATTATCATTTTAAACTTTAACATTTGTTATAATATTATTTAATCTATTTACGTATTCTAAAAGTTAAATTTTAAAACACTTACTTGCAGAATGGAAATATTGCATCATCCAGCATAAGGAAATGTTTACATAGAAACTAAAAAAAAAAAAATAATAATAATAATATCCGTATGGACAAAATCTCCAAGCAGGGAAAAAATTTCCGAAATTAGGGCAGCATACTCTCCAAGACAATAACGAGATAAACAGTCGAATCTTCAGAACTAAATATTGCATTTTGAGGGCTCCAGCAAGAGTGTTTGGGAGCGAATGTGTTGCAGTCTTGTCACTGAGGTGGAAATAAATAAGCAATCGTATTAACATCTCTCCATATATGCTAGCGAGCCTTAGACAGTGTTCAAGAAGACAAGCTAGACGGCTAATCCATGGTTCTTGGCAAAATATGGCAGGACAAGTCCGTGAAACATAAGTCCAACAACGGTCTGACTTTATAAAAATACACACTCTCCTATTAAAAGGACAATCCGGCTGTTCAGAAGCATATTTGCAAGAATGCCAGACTGCAGACATTCCTAATCGTTAATGCTCGGTAAACTCCCAAAGGAAAACAATTAACTGGTGGGCAGAAAAATGTGCTTCACGAACGCCCTAAAACTTTCACACTAATCCTTGCACATTGACCCGGATTCCCGGGAAACACGTGTTATGGATCATACAAGCTGGCGAGAAAGACTAACTGTTGGAGAAAAATCCTCAGAGATTAAGCGCAACGCTCACGCCTAAAGAGAGCGCTAGGAAAATTCCGAATCACCTTAAATCCAACTTGGACCCAAAACAAGGTGTGATTACGTGCAGGAAAGCTTTCTAGGCACATAAAGTCTGTCAGGCCAAATGTGTACTCACCGTTGAAAATAACCATGGTAACCTTTACATCCGAAGGCTTTACTGCCAAGCAAATAAATCTGAAGATCCAAATTCATTGCGTCAATTTTTACGTTGTGATCCCCGATTGAAACTTCCTCGTAGACACAAATATTTGTTCTTGAAGCTGCATTTGAAAAATTCTAAATTGTTTGTGAAATAGCGACAAAAGCAAACCTGAAAGGTTTACGTTGCAGTTTAAAAACATAACTGTATTAACTGAAAGTGTTAACTCTGAACGTATTTAATAAATAGTTAATTACCTATTGAGGTGCAAACAGATGAATTATATCAACTTTAGATATTTATGTGCCACTTATTTTAATAAAAAAATTAATTCACTATTTTTTTTTGTTAACAAATTCAGCAGTTAAAAATAAAAAGAAACAGAACAGCTGCATATATATATATATATAATACCAATTTTTTTTTTCCTTTCGTTGTTAAAAGTTTAAAACATTATTCCTTTTATTCATTTTCTCCTCATTTTCTTTTTCTAGCTCTAGTTATACATTTAACAGGACTCATGTCAAAGAAGTTTAAACTATGCGATAGTCGGCATTCACACGTTGTAATAACATAAATGATTTTTTTTTTCCAGAATAATAAAAATAACCTTTTTTGATGACAATTATGATGTAGAACAGGGGTCACAAACTCGCGGCCCGTGGGCCATTTACAGCCCGAAAGACGATATTTATCGGCCCGCTACATGACAGCAAAGTTTAGTGTTAATGCGGCCCGCGCTTTTTCCCATCATCAAATTTATAAGGTGGCCCTCCACGACGGTCTCAGTCGAATCTCACCGACTAGTCTCATTCCGATGTTTATTATGTTTCTATATATTTCTTTGTTGATTAAAATGATAAAAATAGTTTTAAAATCAGTTTCAAAGATTTTTTATCTTATAGCATTAATTTAATGAGACAAACATGGCCAAAGTGCGTTTTCGAGAAAAATTTACAAAATATCAGTTAGTGTGTAATGCACAACCATAATTTTATAAATCGTAGCAGTCTGACACAGTATTAAAGAATCCCTATTAAAATTGCCGCTAGTGTTTACGAGTGAGTGAAAATCCAAGCCTGTCACCTTGGTCACTTGCAAAATAGGATTAGTCAAAAAGGCACTTTCTTCTATAAAAAAATCAAAATTCATTCTCCATACAATAGCATCTTCAATCACATCAATAATTCATAAATATTGCCTGCCCTTGCCTACTGTTTGAACACGTTTTAGCCTTCAAAGCCTTCACGGAGAAGGATGGGATGGTTGTTCCTGTACTTAGTGATCCCAAATGGCTCATAGACTTGGCTTTTTTGTTGACATTACACATGAACTGAATAAACTCAACAAGAAGTTACAAGACCAGGGGTAGCTTGTCATTGTTGCTATTGACAATGTCATGGCATTCTGCATAAAACTTGTGTTATGATTCTTAGAGAAACCTTTGCAATTTCACAACATGCAACGTACTCTTGGACTCGTGCACACCATTCAGTAGCAAGTATTCTGATGCCATTGCAAAGCTACAGGAAAATCACATGTTTGCAGATTTCAAAGCAAACAGAGCAACTTTTCACAATTTGTTTACCCTTTCTCCTTCAATGTGGAAGATGTCGCCACCCCTTTTGCTTCAAATGGATCTGATTGATCGACAGTGCAATTCTGAACTCAAGGCTAAGTACAGGGGCGTGAATGGTAAAACAGACAACCGTGGACAATTTATGAGAGCATTGCCCTCCACCTTCCCTGATATTTCAAGGTTGTTCAAGCGCATCGTGTGCCTTTTTTGGGAGTACCCATCTGTGTGAAAAGCTCTTTTCCACTATAAACTTTAACGAGTCAAAGTACAGGGCCAAACGCATTGATGAATATTTTCAAGCTATACTGATGGTCTCAGTTGCTTCCTCACTCAAGCCAAATGGGCTACAAGGAGTTGGATGAAGAAAGGGAGGCTAGTTCTTGAGAATCCTTATTAATTTTTATTTGCTATTAATAAAGATTGCAACAGCTGTAATTTATGGAGTCTGTAATCGCTTCTTTGTGGAATAATTTGTGCGGCTCAGTCTCAATCAGACTCTACCTCATGCGGCCCCCAGTTGATTTGAGTTTGAGACCTCCTGATGTAGACGGTATTTTTATTTAATATTTTTTTCATTTCCATTATCCCATTCGTTAAACCAATATATCATTGTCAAAAGTTAAAACATATTGTTGTAGTCTGAGTGTTGATCTAATTTTACTTGAGCTTAGAAAGGATGCGTCCACCACCTGTCTCCCCCTTGTTCGAATAATTGCAAAAAAAATTCTAAATAATGTTAACGGGTGATGCGATTTCAAGAAACGTCTTTTTTTTTTTCTTTTTTTTTTTGTTTCCTTGAGTTTTACAACTACCTCCCTATAAATGAGCCGGCCGAGTTTTTGTGCTAATTTCCAAGATATTTGTATTTTGTATTTTTCAGGGATATTTTTTTTTGCTGTGCTGCAAGTTAATATCTTTTTTTTCCCCTTTACATTTGATTTTATATGTTTTTAAATAAATTTAATTATATATTTAGATTGAATATAGTTTTTATATCACTAGCTTTTGAATCGATTTTTTAAATCAATTCCATTTTTCAATACTTACTAAAAATATCTTTCAACAAACTATCAACTATCAGGTAATTTTAGCAGACTAAATTTTAAAATCTTTTTTATTTTTTTAAACAATATATTTAACATAATTACAAGCTCTATTGAAATGTAATATTTAGATGAAAAAGCATAACTCTTTTAATGAATAGTTTTAGAGTAGTTATCAGTCGACTCGTTCTTTTTTTTTTAAACGTCTATAAATCTATAGATAATTAAAATTTAAAAAAAAACAAAAACAATTTAAAATAAATAAGTATTCTCGTTTCAGAAAAGAACTTGACGTCGATTTGTATGTCTCAATACCTAACGCAACTCAAAGTTTTTAACGAATGCATAAATCCAATTAGTTAAAATATATCTTCTCTCTAGTTGTTTATGTTCTTTTAAAATCTAAATATCATCGAGATGTTGAAAAGATTAAAACTCCTTTTCAACATCTCAGGTCGAAATGTCGCCTTAAAACAGAGTGCGTCTCAGACCTCTACCTTAGCGATGCGTGCAACGTTTAACACCCAGGCATCAAACGCCATCGATGGCAATACAGCTGGGAATGTCAGTGACAACACCTGCACACACACGGCCAACCAAGATTCGTCGCCAAGTTGGAATGTGATGTTTGACCGTCCTCAAGCTGTCTACAGATTTCTTTTGTATAACAGATTTTTTAATGGTCAGGATGTGGTTGGTTTTTTTTCCTCCAATATTTGATGTCTTTTTATTCAATCTTGAACACGCTATGTGATAATAAAAATTGTATGTTTTAAAACTCTAGCATGATCTAATTTTCACTATTGTAGCAATGTTTAGTTTAGAAATAGTGGTTTTATCATCAACTGCAAAACCCTACCCCACCATTTTTATGACGAACTGTATGTTAAGGGGAAAGAGGGAAAACTAATATGTTCTTATTTTTAAATGAAAATCTAAACGATAAATTTCACGTGATTAATAACATCGGATTTCGAGATATTACTAGTCTAAAAAAGCATGTGCCCATCCTGTCAGTGACATACCTTGACTAAGTGTGGACAGAAGAGGACTCCCAAACATAACCCAATTATTTATTAAAGAGCAATAATAAAACTAAACCTTAATAATGTCTTATTGGCGTAGACGTCCTCTTCGCCACCCTCCAGGTACACCACTGCACACATGTACCCGCCTTATTTTATTTTTTTTTAAATTATCTTTACACTTATTACCTTCTACGGAAATATCATGAAGCAATTCATGTGTAAAGTAAATCTACAATTTTAATAACTTCATCTCAATATTTTTTAAAAGTTTTTTCAAAGGTATAAATACAGTCATGTTTAATTTGCGTCCGTAACAAAATAATCATTTATTTATTAGTCTGCGCACTTGTTGAAGATAGGTTTTGTAACACGGAACCAATATTTGAATTATAGCGATAACTCTCAAATTTAAGTTTGTTTTTTTTTAAATTTACAGCTATGAACAGTAAATATAATATGACAATGCCAAATGTGGTGTTAAACAAATGTGAGCTTTTATATGATGTTGGGAATAAATAAAATAAAGTTTATTTTCCTTGACATTTTTCAAAACTTAACTATATTCAATTCAAATAAAACGTGCCAAAGTGTCCTCGTTTTATAGCCATTTTAATTGTTTCTATAGTATAGTAGTTACTATCCTAGTGTCTCATTTTTATTTTACTTAGTTTACATGTTTTTAATAATTGTAAAGCGCTTAGAGCTTTAAGGTAAGCGATATATAAAAAATGCCTAAATAAATAAATAAATAAATAATAAATGCATATTTATAAAAACTTGTTTTTTTTCCATTACTTAAAATAAAAATCCATACCTTTTGGAAAAGCTCAAATACTGCAGAATGTATGTTTCTATGGGTTGAAATATGTTGTCTTTACTTCCTCATTACTTATTTTATTTTGTTCTTTCAATCCTCTAGATTGCCTTGATTTATCCTGTTCCCAGCGATTGAACCATTTTATTCTTCAAAGTTTTGATTCCAACAACAACGCAATATTGAATTACCAAGACCCAACAGAAACAGTTTTGTTGGTGTACACAGTAACGGTACCAGGCCACCTCAGGGACTTACCCGTCAGCAGAGTACACATTAAAGCCACAGTGAAAGTCAACTCCGACACATACCCGATTCTAGCAATTTGTGAATTTGAAGCCTATGGTGGTAATTGACTTAGGCTTACTGCTCTGTGATATTTTCGAGTTCACATTCCATTGGTATTTTAAATATAATGCAGCGATTGAATGGAAATCATGGCATACATGTAAAACATCGTCCCTTATCTATTTTGCTTCATTTATCAGAAATAAGATATGACTGAAAAACGTTATGTTTAACGTGGTATCTAACTATAACAGTTAGTAAATCAACGTTGGTGTTTTGTAAAATAACTAAAGTATAGTTAAGTAACCAATGAGATCAAATTCAGACATATCTACAAAATTAAATGCTCAAGGATTTCGTGTTTTTCTTCTTCTTCTTTTTTGGATTATTTCTTTTTATAAAGCTCCCTTAAGGGACTACTTATTATAAGGGATTTACTTATGTACAATGATTGTTACTTTAATTTTTAACTTCTAGAATGCGCTCCTGGAACATGGGGTCTAGAATGTAACAACCAATGTAACAGCAGCTGTAACACAACATGCCATGCAGAGACTGGTGCGTGCCCAGTTTGTTTTGGATTCAGCAACCCACAGTGTGATGCGCGTAGGTTATTTTAAATGACTTTCATTTCTTCTTCTTCTATATATTAAGGGCCCACGATCAATTTATTGATCATGTTGGCTCCTATTTATTAGGTACAGCTCACCATTAGGTACAGCTCTCTATTAGGTACAGCTCTCAATTAGGTACAGCTCCATATTAGGTACAGCTCTCTATTAATTGATTTATGACGCTTACGTCGTCCTATAGCCTTGCCACCCTGCCATGAAAATTTAAAAGTGTACTTGAAATGACATAACATTAAGACTTCCGATAATTTAATTAAATGTCTTTATTCCCCAACAAAATAATTCACATGTGATTTTTTTTTTTAACTACCTTTTGAACAGCGTGTAAGCCTGGTACCCGGGGACTGGGATGTTCTAAAGAATGCAGTAGCACTTGCTTTGAAAAACTGTGTCATCCAACCACAGGTGTCTGTGATAATGGGTGCAATGGTTACAATGATCTTTCTGCATGCAAATCTGGTAGGTATTAATTCAAAGTCAGTTCACACTTAGCTAACGTAGATTTTAATCTCAAGTTGCTCAAAGCTTTTATGAAAGTGTTGACGTATCCGAGTCTTTGTTATTTATCCAGTGCAGACGACAGATTCTGTTCAAGACAAGCAATTATTTCTATAGACTAGGGCTTAACCAGGTGCTTTGATTTTTAAAGGTAATTGTAGAAAATATTCTGTGGATCCAAATGTTTTAAAAAACGAGTTAACTTCTCAATTTCTGTAATATGCAACGAACTATTCTGCCATATGTCATATTGAGAGTGCATTGCATTATTCAACCGTTTGTGTCAAGTAATAACCCACTGCTAGGAACAGGAAGTAGCCGTATCCTAGAATATGGATGACGTTGTACGCATAAAGCGTGTTCGGGGACAGAGGAACAGGAACAATAACATGACCAAATAGTAGTGGCATCCCTATAAGGAAAACAAATTGTCAACCTATTTAACTCAGTTCAGACGTCACACATGAAGGTCGCTGCGTGACCGCCTTTTCCCCCTTAGTATTATTAATATAAAATATGTGGAGTTGGTGGAAGGGGGCGGTTTGAAGAGTAGCAAGGCAAACAAGAAACAAAATATTTATCAGGGATTTTTTTTTCCTCTTCCTTATCTAACGTATATTTCATTTATAATTTTTTTTTTTTATTTTTATAAAATACTACTATCAGAAATTAATGAAGTTACGTGAGCAATCGGTGTTTAAGTTGATGTAAGTGGGGTATGTCCACGGAGAATTTTTTTTTTTCATGGAGAAAAGATCGTTTGTTTTTTTCGGCTGTTACTTTCGTTTCGCTTACCGTGTAGTCACTCTGTAATTTAACGAAAGCGAGTCGGAAAAAACTTTTGGTCTTAATAAATGCGAAGGACTTAAAATTATATCTCAAATTGTAAGGTCTTTTGCTAATCGCAAAATGGGCTATTTTTTAAGTAAGCCAATGGGACGTATCCATTGTTACAAAACAAACAAACAAAATGCATGTTAATATGTATGCCAATTGTAGGCAAGCCTAACCAAATTGCATAATATAATTTTGTTGAGAATACAATTGACTGTTGTTTGGGATCAACTACAGTGTCTTGTTTAATAATAATATTGATGGGCTTATGTCATATACATTTTGTTTAAAACAATTGTGCAGTAGGGCTACAGCTACCTAATTAAGTGATCTTAGTCCTTAGTAAATATGAAACGTTTAATGTTGAGGCATAGTGTTATAAATAAAGAGCAGATCTGTTAATATGACCAAAATAATACTATAAGCCTAACGGCTAAGTTTTAAAAAATACAAATCATTAATGAAATTAGTAGTAACAAAGTAACAACTAAAGATAAAGTGATGATAGGCGTAGCTTAGTGACATATTGGATAAACTTATATAATGGACTTACTCCGTCCAAGATGATTCTAAGTAAATTGGTATAACTAGGCTTTGAGAGATTTATGTCCCCATGTGAGAATCACTAACTAACAAACATACCCGTAATTAACATAACGTTATTGTCACCTTAGAAACCTACATTGTACAGTAATGTTATTTAAGATACGTTTTAAAGTGAAATAATAAGTTAAAGTTATTATTATTTAGCATTAAATCACTGAGTGCATTCATTAGGACATATGGCACCCACAGTAGGAGTTAAAATGGCGTCCCTTTCAAGCTTGAAAAAAAAATCCTTGTTTTTAATAATTAAGATTGACAATTTTTATAATATACAAATAAAAAAATATGAAATGGTCAATGGTAACGATTAATAAATTTTTTAAACTCTTTTTAGTTTTTACACATTTTTGTTTCGGTGGATTTAAGAGTTTCTTTATTTGATAACCAAAAAATAACTTTTCATATAAAAGGAAAGTGACATAAAATTAGATTAAAAAGAAAATGAAACGATCCATATGAAGCTTACTCACTATTTAATATTTCAATCATATAGAGATACATTGTATTAGTTATATAAAGTCAGTTTTCAATAATATATAATTCACTTTTATTTTGTTAATCTCAATTATTTAGATCACCATGTAGTTACCTTGCGCTAAGTTTTCTGCCAGCAATTATTACTATGTGAATTACTAAAAAAATATTTAATAAATATTTCGGGGGTAGGGGGCGTCTCTTAGATTCTATACCATTACTTTGGGAAAACAGGTTTTGGAACTTTTGGTTTACAATGGCAGCAGAGTGTGCACATTATTAGGCAGATTGGTATGCACATTAGTGAACAAAATAGTTTGAAAATTACTGTGGAGATTAGTCTGCAGATTAGTTTTCAGATTCGTGTTTACATTAATGATCATATTTGTGTCTTTATTGATGTGCAGCACTTCCATACTGGCCTATCCATATTGTTTAAATAACTTATCTATGGTATCCTTCCGTCTTCGCGATGGAGTAGCTTTATTGTAGTCCTACACTTCGACGAGTGGATCACTAGGCCAATCCAAGAAAAACAATCTCGACTGCATTTCTGGCAGGAGAAAATTAATTCCTTGACTTCCGTAATGTTGTTTTTGTTGCAAGGGCCTCGTTTCGGGTATCTTTTGCCTTTTTTACTCCTTCATACACTGCTGTTCACCAGCTGGAATGTTGTTCGGCAATTAGCTCCTATTCTTTGATTTAAAATATTGGCTTCCCTCATGCTCATTTTGAAAACATCCATAATTCTCAGGCGTTGCCGTCCAAGAAGTTTTGTCCCTTCTGCCAACTCTTCATACAAGCAGCATCTTTGGGATACGGCCTTCCTCCATTCTCCTTACGTGGCCTAACCAGCGAAGGTGTCTCTTGCTAAAAAAGGAGAATATACTAAACATGTGTGCAAATTCTTAGACTCCATGTTAGACACCTTGTCCAGCCATCGAATGCGTAAAATGCGACGCAGAGATCCTTGGTGGAAGCTGTTGAGTTTCCGTTCCTTACTGGTATATGTGGACCACACTTTGCTACCATGTCGGAGCGTACTAAGCACACATGCCTGATAGAGACTTAGTTTTGTTTTATCAGTTAGATTGAGATTATTCCACACCCGCTTATTCGTTTTAGCCATAGTTGCTACTGCTTTTGAGATCCTGATATTTATCTCTTCACCGAGTAAGAGAGAACTAGAAATATTGGTTCCAAAGTATGTGAAATACTCAAAAACCGACAGATTATGGCTCTCAATAGATATGATTGGAGGGGACGGTGCTTCTTGCATCATTACATGTGTCTTCTGTAGACTAATCGAAAGTCCAAACTATTTACAAGCGTGTGTTAGACCATTAACCAGCCCCTGGAGACCTTCTTTTGTGTGAGATGTTAAGGCGGCATCGTCAGCGAAGGGCAGCTCACGAATCAGCATCTTTTTTACTTTGGTCTTTGCACGAAGGCAGGTGATATTGAACGGCCTACCATCAGATCTGGTATGGACGTACACTCCATCTTCACAGTCCCCGAAGGCAAATTGAAGGAGCATCGAGAAGAAAGTGGAGAAGAGCGTTGGTGCCAGTGCACAGCCCTGTTTTACTCTGCTGCTGACTGGGAATGACTCAGAGACAGCACCGTTGAAATTGTTCGTTTGTGCATGTTATTGTGAAATGACTGTATGTTTGTGAGCAGTCTTGGGGGACAACGTATTATTTTGAAGATACTGAAAAGCCTCCCCCACTTACCAAGTCAAATTCTTTTGTCAGGTCTACAAAAGCAATATAAAGTGGAATATGCTGTTCACAAAATCTCTCCTTCATTTGGCGTAAAAGGAATATCATGTCTATTTTTGAGCGCCCACTCTGGAATCCACACTGGGATTCTGGGTAGTTGCAGTTCGCCGGACTCTGCAATCTTTTAAGGGCAACACGGGCAAAAGTCTTTCCACCTAAGCAAAGGAGAGAAATTCCTCGGTAGCTATTTCAATCACTTCGGTCCCCTTTATTTTTATACAATTTTACGATGTTGGCGTCTCTCATGTCCTGGAGAATGTGACCTGTTTCCCAACAGAAACAGCGGAGCTCATGTAAGGGCGAAAGTATAATATGTTTTCCTTTTTTGAGGACTTTCGCTGGAATGCCGTCAATCCCTGGTGTCTTCCCATCAGCAACGTCAATGGCTTTTCGAGCTCCTGTTAAGTTGGCTTTTCATCCAGTTTTTCCATTACCGACAACACGGGAATATTATTCAGAGCGGTCTCAGTGACTGCATTCATTTTTTATTTTATTTCAAGTTACCCAACGTCGGAGTTGATCGTTTGGATTCCGGATAATTTGACCCGTCTTGGACTTGAGTTGTGCTATTTTTGAAGAGTGTGAAGAATGTTTTCCTGATGCCCTCGAAAATGCTACTCGCATCTCCATTGTCGGAAGCCGATTGTACAGAGTTGCAAATGTCTAGTCAATAAGTGTTTGCACAGTGGCGGGCCGTCTGCTGTGATATT